CAAATTACATAATGAAAAATAAAGCGAGTAAAGAGATAATAGAGAGATCGACATGAGGATTTGTTACACGGTTCCACACTTTCATCCTCAAGTGTGCGTGCGTTTGTGCCTAATTTCCAATGTGGAATTAGGATGCTTTCTTACTATACAAAAAGTTGATGTACAAGAGAAGTGTTCAATAGCAACCATAAAAACACCAATGGTTTTGATGTTGATTCAACCCATTCTCTTCTTTTGATCTTGAAAAAGATCAAGATAAAAATGGATAACAATTGACTTGTCGATATTGCTACTCATTTGCGTTCTTTATCTCCAAGCTTTTGCGCATGATCAATTGCACTGATTGTTCCATAAAAATTTGATTCTCCATTCTCCGTTATTTCCTTTGCATTCTTTATCTCCAAAGGATCCTTTGCATACTTTATCTCCAAAGGATCCTTTGCATACTTTATCTCCAAAGGCTTTCACAACATCGCAATCCTCTCTTGAACATCTTGCACAAAAACCCCCAAATCTACACATGATCTTGGAGGGCAAACTCGGGGTTTTTCTGGATGAAGACCCCTACAAATCTCAACCCGATATTCTCGGCTACACAAGAACCTAATCGGACGTTATCAGGCCTTTTCCTAGCTGGAACCCCAACAAATGATTATTATATGTGATTTGTTAGTGTGTAGACATAGGATGGAGGTTGAAGATGATGAGAAAATGCATGCTAATTTTATGGTATCGCCAGTTTGAAATGAAACATGAATGATGTATTTATAGTTTTGGAAGATTGGTGGCAAAGACGTAATTTTTGGAATTAAAGGAATTAAAAAATTGACCAACTTAAACAATATGTGTCAACCTGAAGGTTGGATGTGCCGACACATAATGTCAAAAATAACAGAATGTGTCGACCTGAAAGGACCTATGTGCCGACCCAAATCAAACAGAGACTACAACCTTATTTAGGACAGTAGATGTGTCGGCCTGATACACGTATGCGCTGACATAGAGAAATGATGTTACAATATGTGCCGACCTGAAAGGGTTATATGCTTACCTGACTTTGATATAGGCTACCGACTTCATTATTAAGTTACATGTGTCGGCCTGAAAAGCGTATGTGTCGACATATGTAGTGCTTTTTTTGTACAGAAAATTGTATTTCATGATTGTGGACAATTTTGAAGTGGTGCCAAAACTTGCGACTAGGCATTTCATGTTGATATCAAATGCTCCCCCTGACTTTGTGCTTTCCTTCTTCATCTCGCATATTCTTCCCCCCTTTGATAACATCAATAAGAAGAAAAAAAGCATGAGAAATATCATATTCTAATACAAATAGTAATATATCACTCAGAGGCGTTTTTGCATAGAAGAGCAACAATCACATATCTCCATATATATATGTAATGAAGAAAAATTGATAAATAACCAGCATTACAAATCAAGTAACACAAAGTAGAATTAAATAAATAAATTAATGCAAGAGCAAACTCATCAAGTTGCTAAAATTACGTCACTCATATCAAACATATCATAAAGTAACTCCCGATGCCACATACGTATGTGTCTTGCATAGCGACAAGAACATGTCACTACTCAATCCAAGATGATAACGCTATCATAACACGAGACACGCAACAAAAATAACAATTTATTCAATTATCAAGCTTAAATACAATAAACAAAACAAGCCACATGCTTATACACTTAAGAGCAAACTTATACAAATGTGAAAGAGTTAATACATGAAATCACTATAAGAATATACATTGAGAAGACACAATGGTTATCAATAAAATTTTTTGGAAATGAACATTCATGGTTTTCATCATTTGAGAAAATATCAAGCATCTTTAACCAACAAATAACATGCATTAAAAATAGTCTTACTTTTAAGGAGAAATTGAAACAATACTACCTCACTCTTGATGGGATACACGTTGCACTCACATGATGTTAAAAAATCAAAACAAAACATTAGGGAAATAGTATAAAGTGCAAGAAGGTAGTTTAATTTCCCCATTAGACTCATTTCAAACTCTCCCTGCATAAGCTTAGAGAATTCTTTTTTGGTGTCACCGATAATATTGTCAATTGGATGATCCTTGAAGGTTGTACACTCCAATAGAATACCATCATTCTCTTGTTGACTTTCATCATCTTCCTTTTCATGGTTGTCACCTTCCTTATTCTCAATGTCCACCGTTTTAGGTTGATCATTCCCTTTTTCATTTTCATTGAGCATGTCTTCCGTAGATGCACTTACACCATTAAAAGAAATACTTTTGCCAACATTACTTGGGCCATACTCATCAAAGGTAACATAAATCGACTTTCGTGCTGACACATACTGAACCAGATTTGCAACAAAGTTGAAAAATGAATTTATGTGTCGGCACATAGGACTTATGTGATGGCCTATACTGAATGAAAATCAACAGAATTTAAATGACTTCATTTCAGGCCGACATGACTGCATCATGTGTCGACACATGTTTGCAGGTTTTTAGAGAAACACAAAGAGACATAATTTGACATATTTGGAGACATGTGACTTGACTCTTGCATGACTAAAAAAGACTTATATGTATGATTTGAACAATATTTGTTGAGGCTATGCATTTGAACAATTTAGAAAAACAAGCATGCATAGATAAGGAATAAAAGGAAAAAACATACATATTTGCATAATTTGATCTAGGTCACTATAAGCATGTAAATTGAAATAATCACATATTCAATAGAAAATTTTGGAAGTAAACACAAGAACAAATAACATCCAGCATGTATTTGAAGTACCTTTAAATAAAATAGGATAAAAGACATAGCTTAGTTTTAGAAAGAAAATGAGACGATATAACCTCACCGTACAAACGAAGTATGCACGAGTATTTCACGAGAAGCTCTAGAGCAAGAGCTTTAACAAATGCCAACTGTACCATCAACAAAATCTTTTCAACAGATATTCATTCATCTTCACCTTTCTAAGTTGTCTCAATATCTTTTACCAAAGGGCTTTCTTGTTGATGCTTCTAGAAAACACATTCTTTTTTCTTGACACCAAGTCAATTTGATTTAAACAAGTTATCTAGTAAATATATTGATGTTACTGTAAATGAAGCCCCACAACTTCTTCATAGAATCAATAATCTTTTTCCTGTAAAATCAACAAGATAAACTAGGTACGCAATCTTTGTTGGGTCCTTGAGGGTGAGTAACACAACTGTTGCACTTAGGTGACCATTGAGAAATGCCATTAGGGATTGAAAATCTCCTAAGTTTGCATTTGGGAATAGTATGACCTTTCATGCAACAGTAGTAACAAGTTATATTTCGAGAAATGTCATGTTTGCTATTCAAGTATTTATGATACTTTTTGACAAACAAACTCATCTCTTTATCATCCGAAACATATTTGTTGCTACCATCACTATCATAAAAATGCTCATCCTTTGAGGATCTTGAACTTGAATCCCTAAGAGCTTTAGGCTTCGTTCCTTCCTCCTTGTAGGTGTCTTTCTCCTTTTTATTCTTTTACTCAAGTTTCTTTTCATGTTTTTCCAAGCAAGCGAGTTCTTGCTCGTGTTCTTCTAACTTTTTGAACAAGATGGGAAATCAAGTGTTGTAAGCTCGTTGGCTACCTTGATGACAGTAATCTTCGGTTGCTAATTCCTAATAAGACATCTCAAAACCTTGCTAGTAGCAATAGCATTAGAAATAGGACTACTTAGATAGTCTAAACGATTAATAAGATGTGAGAACCACTTTTGCATTTGAGTAATGGTTTCACCATGACAAAAGATTATTATGTGTGATTTGTCAGTGTGTAGACATATGACGGAGGTTGGAAATGATGAGTAAATGCAGGCTAATTTTATTGTATCACCAGTTTGAAATGAAGCATGAATGATGTATTTACAGTTTTGGAAGATTGTTGGCAAAAAGGTCATTTTCATAATAAAAGGAATTAAAAAATTGATCAACTTAAACAATATGTGTCAGCTTGAAGGTTGGATGTGCCGACACATAATGTCAAAAATAACAGCATGTGTCGACCTGAAAGGACCTATGTGCCGACTCAAATTAAACAAAGACTACAACTTCATTTAGAACAGTAGATGTGTCGGCCTGAAACACGTATGTGTCGGCACATAAAACTGAATGTATAGTATGTGACAGCTTGAAAGGCTTATGTATCGACCTGACTTTGACAGAGGCTACATGCATATGCTTCATTATTGAGTTACATGTGACGGTCTGAAAAGCGTATATGCTGACACATGTAATGTATTTTTGTACAGAAAACTGTATTTCATGATTGTGGACAATTTTGAAGTGGTTTTTGATGATTTCTAAGACCTCTAATATAAGGGTGCCACACAAACTCAGAGATACTATCTAACACATAAAAATACTAAATTTTCTTATAATTTTAACATCATACAAAACATCTAACAAAAAAGTTACACTCACCTACAGTCAATATAGTCACCCTTCCTCACAATATTCTTTATGATTATTGCCCAAAATTTTAAGACATACTTTTTATTTTCTTTAACAAAACTTTAAACGTTTTCCTAAAATGTGCTTTTGCTTTAAGTAAAAACTATTGTACCACGAAATACTTTTTCCACTTTAAACAAGCATATCGACCTAACAACGACTACTTCCCACTTTTGTTATATTTAACAATCTTCAATTATTTGCAACTTTTTCCTTTGTTTTGTTATTAGACAAGTCAACTATTCTTATTCATCTTTATCTCACAAATTTTGCCCACCCATTTCTCCTAAAAGTTTAAAAAATTAAATAAAAAACTATAAAGCGCGTATTGAGCAGACAAGTTTGAAAACTGTGACAATTATTATTTTCATATTCAGCTTTCTGACTCTTACCAATCTCCTCTGTATGCATGCACCGTCATACTCACCTGTATATATTGCTTAATCTTATGCTTCTTCATTCACAGTTCACATACTTCCTTTGCTTCTTTCAATACTATTATGGCTCCCTTTATTAAATTATTTGTTACACTCTCTATTATTTCTCTCTTAGCATGTTCTACCAATGCACAACTTATTAATAACTTCTATGGTAGAACTTGTCCTCGTCTTCAAACAATTGTTCGTAATACAATGATCAGTGCTATCAAAACTGAAGCCAGAATCGGTGCATCTATACTTCGCCTGTTCTTCCATGACTGTTTTGTTAATGTAAGATTATCTTCAAATATCATTTATTTATGCATTAGTTTTTATTAAATTCTACTATAATATCACGGACTGTAGTTTTTTTAACATGTGAGTTTTTTTTGTTTGTTTCTTTATTTTGTAGGGATGTGATGGATCCATCTTATTGGATGACACTGCCACGTTTACTGGTGAGAAAAATGCTGGACCTAACATAAACTCAGCTAGAGGTTTTGAAGTGATTGATACAATTAAAACCAACGTTGAAGCTTCTTGCAATGCCACTGTTTCTTGTGCTGATATTCTTGCACTTGCAGCAAGAGATGGAATCTTTCTGGTATGCCACCATTTATTTTCTTTCATGTTTTATTGTTTCACAAACTGAAGTAACAAAGGTTGAATCTAAACTATCACCAGTTATTTTGTATAGATAAAAGTTGATATTATATCTTTTTGGCTAAAGACTGTTGTTGAAAAATCAGACAAGTATTTTTACTAGGAAAAGATGCACTATTTGACATGCTTAATTGAAGTAACACCTATGTTGTTGCGGCTATTGCCACTCTTGCGAATAATAATAATATATTGCAGTGTCATGTGGCTACGCGGTGTTATGATGCGGCTATTGTTGTATTATGATACGATTTTTGGTGTGATTTAGTATCACATTGCAATATTATGATACGATTTTTAGTGTGATTTAGTATCACATTGCAATATTGCAGCCTGATGTAAATGCGGACACTAGTACAACCATTATATTGGGTCGCATCAAGATGCGGTATACAATTTAAAACCATGAAAGTGTTTTTTTTTTTTTTCTTCTTTCTGTTCAGAATACTTTGAAATCTTAAAAGTAAGATTCCAATATCCAGTCATTCTCAAGTATCTAACATGATGTTTATGTTTTTCCTATCATTTCATTTTTGGCACGAGCTTATTTTCAAACCATGTCTCCCACTTCCTCTTTTTAACTTTTTCTTTACATATAATTGATCTTTAATCATGTCAACTTTTGTTATATTGTGGGGTATACTCCTCTAGTAACCATGTTTTAATTTGTTTGTATAGCTTGGAGGACCCACATGGATAGTTCCACTTGGAAGAAGAGATGCAAGAACAGCAAGCCAAAGTGCAGCCAACAGTCAAATCCCTGGACCATCATCTGACCTTGCAACCCTCACTACAATGTTTAAAAACAAAGGTTTAACATTAAATGATCTTACTGTCCTTTCTGGTGCACACACCATAGGCCAAACCGAGTGTCAATTTTTCAGAAACCGCATATACAATGAAAGCAACATTGACACAAACTTTGCAACCTTAAGAAAAGCAAACTGTCCTTCCTCTGGTGGTGACACCAATTTGGCACCTCTAGATTCCCTCACTCCAACTACTTTTGACAACAACTACTATAATGATCTTATTGCTAATAAAGGTCTTCTTCACTCTGATCAAGCTCTTTTCAATGGTGTTGGTTCTCAAGTTTCTTTGGTTAGGACTTATAGCAGAAACACTATTGCTTTTAAAAGAGACTTTGCTGCTGCTATGATAAAATTGAGTAGAATCAGTCCTCTCACTGGGACTAATGGGGAGATTAGAAAGAATTGCAGGCTTGTCAATTAATTCATCATGAATTGGAGGGTATATTAGCAATTGAATAAATGTTGTGTTTGGAGATTTTTGAAAGATTGATTTATTACAGGGTCAAAGTCATAAGGTTGACTAGATCTTGGACACAATGGCAATTCTAATAATTATTGGTGCTTCTTTGATAATTTGAAAGTTTGTAGTTCCACAAATACAAGAAAGTTGTTATTTTTATGTTGTTCTCTTACAAAGACTAATGAATGGATCAATGTAATTTTATGTTGGAGCTTAAATCTGGCATTGTTTTAATTCTAGGTTTTCTTGTACCAGTTTTTTTTTTTCACATTTAGCTTCACATTTCTCTATCTCTTAAAGCATTATTTAAAAAAGTCATTGAACCGAACCGAAATCATTAAACCATTATTTTTAATTATTGAACTGATAAATAATTTTAGAATCAAATCAAATTACAAATAATCCGAACAGAAATTGAAAAACAACAAATTGAAAATTGAAAAATGAAAAATGCTTAAAACAAGTTAAAAAAATTTATTAAAAAAAATTAGAAAAAAAGTATAGTGGTTCGGTTCTTTAACAAATGATTAAGTTTTGAAAAATTGTCTTCTAACAGTTTGATATAGTACGAAATTCTGAACCGATATAGCGAACCAATAATTTTGGTTTAGTTCGGCTATGGATAAATTAAAGCAATTCAATTCGGTTTGGTTCGGGTGACCTTTTACTATAGTTCGATTTGGTTTTCTAGCTAAATTGTACCTTAAAAAGCCCTTAAATTTTCTCAAAAGTTTGCCATAGTTTTCATTAAACTAGACTTAGCGAGAAGTTTAAGAATTTCCCGATGGTTTTAAACCATAAGTCTATCCTTACCCAATTCCCTTTCAATAACAATCCTTCTTTGACATTCCTCTTATAATGAAATGACATGTTGTCAAGATGAACATCAGGAATGTTAGCGAGAATTTTCATGACAACATTAATTTTCTTACTAGAGGGCACGATGCCCAGGATATTTGTTTGATCATCATACTCAGATTCAATAGAGAGAACTAGTTTTATCTTGAGAGTCTTCTTAGGTGTAATTTTGTTTTCCTATTTTTCTTTACTTTATATCTCTTGGCACTCTTTTCAAATTCCTTTAGAGAAGTCTCTCTTGAAGCAACCTTATCTTTTTTCTTCTCTAATTTTCATAGGACTTTCATCAAATTTTGTTTCTTCATCATCACTCTTTCGTTTATTGCTATCATCACAAATCTTCTTCATCATTTGAGCAATTGGAATGTCATCCCTAACTACTTTCTGACAATTATATTTCCTTTTCTTTCCTTTACCTTCATCAACTCTTTTTTGAGGTGCTATTGTGGGTTCAACATTTTGTCCAACATGTAAATTAACTTGCATGCTCGAGATGCATGTGAATTCCATAGTTTATGTAATTTTAGTTTTATCCCTATGGTCTTTTCCTATTGATTTATCAGATGATTTGTTCTTATAAAGGCTTACAGTGTTATAGGCCTTCTTTTTCTTTGAGTCAGTTGCCTTAGTTTTGATTGAAGATCTATCTTTAGGCATAATCATTCAGAGAAGCACAACATCGTTAATCACTTTCCCATCGTCATCATTGTTTTTAAATCCTGAAACCCTAGATTTATTTGTGGAAGGGTTTTCTTTAAGGTTGACTCCACACATTTTTACTCCATGAATTTTTGTGATAGAAGTAAGTTCATAAGACTTGGTGCTTTCCATTATCACTTTGGTTGGAAAGGTAGGCAAGAGGAAGTTCTGGTTAGGGCAGATGAAATGAACTGGTGTTATAAATGAGAGGGAACATATAAATTTTGAAAATACCAACTAACGAAATAGAGCCCTAGAGTGGAAATGATCTCAAGAGGGAGAAAATTTCCTCTTTCCCGCTTTAAGAATAATTTTTTCATCCGCAAAAATGACTCAACTGTCGTTTATACTTTTGATTCCTATTATTCTATGAAGGCTGGTCAAATTCTCTAATGTCTGAATTATTTGATACTCACGTAAGTATCTGCAAGTATCAATAACCTTTGTTTCCTTTTCAGAGAACACATGTTAAGCAAGATGGTCCAGCACCGTGTCAGACATTCTTCCTTTAGAGCATATATTAGTTTCTTCATTCTCATGGTTCTCTTTCTCACCCTTGGATGTCTTATAGGAGCTATATTTTGATCTCCACATAAAGTCGATGTCTTTGGATCTTGAGCCCTTTATCAATTATTCATGTTCTATGTTGATGATGAAACATTCTCCCTTGTTAAAACTTATTTCAAACCCTTGATCATATAATTGACTAATACTGATCATATTTGCAGTCAAGCCTTCTACTAGTAACACATTATTAAGCCAAGGAAGTCTTGACCTGGTTACCTTACCAATAACTTTGATCCTTCCTCTCCTTCTATCTCCAAAAGTTGCATATCCTAGTGGTAAAAGTTTAAATTCTTCAAAGAAGGACTCTTCACCTTTCATATGATGGGATCATCCACTATCAAAAAAACTAGTCATCCATCAAAGACATTCCAACTGAGGTTTGAGTTATGAGAGCTCTAACTTCATTCTTTGGCTTCTGCACTTTCTCCATTTGAGGTTGCTTACTCTTTCTATTAAATATTTATTTATTAAAAGGTTGAGGGTAATCATGCAGCCTAAAATAGAAAGGCCTAATGTACCCATATCTTCCACAATGATGACATCTTTTGTTAGAGTTCTTGTTTTTTCCATCATAATGATACTCGTTACTTGCAGGATGTTGGCCATGTGGTCCAACATTTGGAACTCACTACTTTTCTTAGGAGGAACAAACTTGTTAGGGTGAGTTTTATTGTTCTTGTTCATGGACCTAGGTTCAAACCCTATTCCCTTCATGTTTCTGGACATTTTTCCAATCTCCAATATTTCATTTAACATGGTAAACCCGTTGTTCATCATGCGAATAGACTTTGACATATTCTCTAATTAGGATTTTAACTAGGTGTTTTCTTCTTTCAGATTTGTTGTGTTTGAAGTTTGTTTCTCTTTTTTCTTAAGGAGAGTACTTATGGTCTTCTTTAGTGTCTCTTTATTCAAGCAAGATTCATTCCATTCACTTAGTTTTTTTAAGGATTCAGTGAGCTCTTCTATAGTCAAACCATCTTCATCAGACTCACAACTAGAATCATATTTTCTAGTGAAAGCATTCACCTTATTTTATCTTTCTATTTCATCATCAAATTATGGCCAAGCGACAGATAACCCCTTCTTTTGATTCTTTAGAAAAGTAGTACATTATGTTCTAAAGTGTCCATAACCTTCACATTCAAAATATTGAGTGCCCTTCCCACTATCGGGTTCTTCTTCACTCCTATCTTTGTGTTGGGGATTGATGTTGGACCTCTTGATAATTAAACACATCCCAACAAAAATTGAGATTAGAGGCATTGTTTAACGGTGATTAATGATTTCAAACCAAACCCCCTTAAGTTATTGCAGACATTTTGATTTTGTCAATTTTCCTTGAACAGATGAAATTCTTAATGCCTTTTTTCATATACTTAACTAGGTAAACCTGCCAAGAGTATACTAAGAACCTTTTGTTAGAACAGTGGTTAAGTGTCGGGTTTATATTATCGTCTCCACAGGGAATATAAGATTTTGTTGTCGTTCAACAGTTGTTAAATTTATAGTTTAGTGGTATCCAAGGGTTTGTGTTTAAGGTAACAAGTATTTTGCATGAAAGGAATAAATGCGATAAAAGTTAGGTTTTAACGGTTTGAATAAAGATTGTCAAAGTTAGGTTTTGGTAATCACTTTGCATGTATACTTCCGATCAACATTTAATAAACTCTTTCAAATGATCAATGTATTCACAATATCCTCTCAATATGATTATCTCTAACTCATATTGTGAAGTTTATCATTTTAATCCATTGTTGATCTCTCACACAATCTATCAAAATGACAACTTTAAAGTTCAACATTTTAAGTGAACAAAATCATCCAAGACTATTTCTAGCTCAAGAAAAGAGATGGGTGAAAACCTAGGTCAAGAGTTGGTAAATATTTCTCAATCATTAATCAACACAAAAGATTATGAATAAAACAAAGTTTTCACCATACATTAATCATTCAATAGTTTACAAATGAAGATCGTCCATACAAATACAAAGTTCAATGATTACCTACATCTATCTTTGACAACAAGATGAACTTAGCTACACATTCTCATGGTAGCTTGCAAAAGAAGTTTTAAAGTCGGTTGATGAACATCCAAGTCGAATGATCCAACTTGTTGTTGTTTGATTATGTTAAGAGATGAAGGAAAATAAGCCAAAATAGGTTTTTAGGTCACAAAACCCTTTCTTGCAGCAAAACAAATGTAAAAGTGAAAAAGAAGATGTTCTCCAAAAAGTGGCCCAAGCTACTTATAGTAAGTGACAAATCTGGGCACGCTCGCTACTCACTCGCTAGGCGAGCTGCTGGCGAACGCTCGCTACAACCTCGCCTAGCAAACCTGTAACACCCCACTTCCCAAAACAAATAAAATATGAATAACATAATAAAAATCAGAGTTTCCTTCCCAAGTGGGATATCACATAAAAATCACGTTTCCTTATAAAAAGGTTTTTCTCCAAATACAGCGGAATATTTAAATAATACAATTAAATAAAAATTTTGATACGTTCGCAGGAAAAAAATAGGAGTTCAACATGAAACAATAAAAATGCCCAAGTCCCGTGCTACGTATCAGAGCATCCTAGACTCGACAGTCACACCAATATCCAAGCTAGCTAAGCACCTGGATTATCTGTACTTCTGAAGAAGCACAGACCACAACAACAACAAGGGGTGAGAAATCATGATCAAAAATATAATGGTAATGTAATACATGTAATAAGGCAGTAAAACACACCAACACATCAATTATTCACCCCAACAACACCATATAACGAACCTACTGTTCAAATTACAATATAACATATTATAATGCAATTATGCAACTCAACACCATG